CAAGGACAGGTGTTTTGTTTTCAATAACAAATAAAATTCCTTTCCACCTACAGATTTACAGTCCCGCTATGGGGGCCGCTCAACTAAGCGTTTCCGCCAATTGGTGGAGAAAATAGGAGTCACAGTGAATCACGGGATAAAGAGAATGTCTTCTTTTTTTTTTTCCTCTGCATTAAAAATAATGGCTTGTGATTAGTCCAAATTAATCAGGTGAATAACTCGTTTAATTGCAGTGGAGGAGAGGACAGACGGATGGAGGCATGCGGTTTGTTTGTGGTGATGTGTATAGACCTCTGCAGGCTTGTCCTACTTGCAGTAAGCCTCACTGGAAGGGAAAGTGGACACATACTTATTAACTTTCCATGTTGGATGCGGCACACATGAACGGTTTTTATTGTAGCTGAGTTTGTTTCATAAGCGGCCTATTTTTACATAGTATTCAGGTGTACATTATGGTTGCTGCCGGCCTGCATCATTTGCTCTTTGATGTTTGTTTTGCACTTTGCAAACTCGAAAGACCCCAATGGAACCTTAAATTTAGAAAAAAGGGCTTTTACCTTCTAAACTGTTCACATAACACAACACAAATGCAGATACAGAAAAACAACTTCCTGAATCCTGACAAAAACCGCAATCCATTCACCTTACCATCTGTTCCATTAGTCACCAGTCGTGGCTTACGCAGGTCTGTAGACTATCCATGTAGTACCTTGGAGTATAGAGGAGCATGTGCCAATCAGTGCAGTGCTGATTGGCCCAGTGTTGACACATGCTCCTCCATACTTCGAGGTACTGGATTGTTCCTTGTCACCCCAACATACTTACATTTTCCTATGTTGGTTTAAAGCAAACTTGTTGTTTTGCCCTGAATAAAATCACAGGATTTATAGGGGAGGCTTAGAACTTCCGACCAACGCTTACTGCTGCGTCCCCTTGGAGTTTTTATTTTCTGTTTTTTTGTTTTTCTTTCCTTTTTTTTAATCTCCAATAACCAAGCAAAGTGAGGCAACATTAGCATCGTACTGACAATATTTTCATATGCTTTATTATTCACAAATAGCAATAATAAATGTTTAGCTGTAAAGGTGAAGCTTATCAGAAAGCCACACCCAGGAGGGAATGACCAAGAAATCGACAACTTCACTGATGTGCATAAAAACTGAGAAACGATGAGCTGCTTAGGGGGGTCAAAAAGGAAAGTGATGCAAAAACAGTGACGAGAGGACAGTGGAGCCCGACGAGCAGCTTCCCGTCCATTGTAATTACACGGCCGGCCGGAAGCTTAACACAGTCAAGCGATCGCCCCCCACATACACACGCAGATATGCGTCCGGTACGCCTACGTGCGAAAACGACTATTGCGCCTATTGTGCCACACGTTACATATCGCCGCAAACGTCAGAGTGAGAGCAATAATTTTAGAGCCATTAATCACTGATAACACTAAACTGATGAGCAGTAAAAAGCATTTTAATTGTCGCCTATGGGTGTTTTTTTGCGGGCGCACGCAGTTTTAACCCCTTCATGACTGAGGCCCTTTTTTCCATTTTTGCACCCATGTTATATTCCACATTTTAGGCCTGAAAATGACGTAAAACCCCCCAACATTATATATTTTCTGAATGCCAAGACCCTATAGAATAAAATGGTGGTAGTTGAAAATGTTTATGTTGCGCAATATTAGCGCAACTCCTTATTAAACCCCAAAATTTAGTGACAAATTTAATTAAATGCCCCAAAACACAACAAATTACCCATTTTTTTAATGAAATATAAAAGATGAGGTTACAACGAGTAAAACGATACCCAACATGCCCATTTTACAGATTGCGTGCGACCGTGAAAATTACAGTGACGTCTGCACCAGTTTTGGTCTAATCCAGATATTTTTTTGTTCTTAGAGGCACAATGTTTGTAGGAGTTAATTGCCGCTTTATGATTTGGCTGATTGCTTTACTTGTAAGTGGCAGGATGAGTTTCAACAGCCACTGGAAATGAAAAAGTAAAGTCCGATCTTACTTGCATACAGACAACGCCCATTAGTGATTGCACTGTAATCCTGGAAAGCGCGACGGCAGGAAGCGAGACAGGTAGAGGCAGAAGTCCTAGAATTTACATCTGCAGTGACTATGCATCTTCCAATCATGTTTACACTTTAAAGGAACATTATATGGAAGATTGTCATCTGATAACTGTATGTGAGAAGGCCTGTCATGATCGTGTTCAGTGATGACATTCATTTTGTATTGCACATGTCTGTATTTATTATTTTCTCCAGTTACATGGTGGTGAGGATATTCAGCAATGCATGGCAGGGGTTGGAACAAACCATAACATTAAAGATGACACAAGAAAATAGGGAATTAAAGTTAAGCTGCCCATACGCAGAGGGGATGATTTATAAATCATCAACCGAGACTAATGCTGGCCGAATGCCGTTTACACGCTATTCTCGCCACTAGATGGAGCATAGGAAATTCTGATTCACCGCTTTTTCCTTTAGAGGTAAGTGGTATACAAACTTCATTCGGCCAGCGTATATGTCTTGGCAGCATATTTATAAATCATCCCCTTAGTTTTTTTTCTTCAGTCCTGCAAGCTGGAAATGGAAAAAAAAAGCTTGATTTCCCGCGTGGGGCACTTGTATACTGGCAGCCGACACCCATAGCTGCCAGAATAACCGAACAGTGATTGATTGGCTGCAGTCACCGTTCAGCCGACGATTTTCTGCCCAGCTTCTTCAACAAAAGTTTTTGTTTTTTTTTTAAATCTACTTTTGTAGAATGGAGTGGTATTGGCAAGGCCATACACAGCTCAAATTTTGGCTGAGTCTGCAGGGCTCCAACAGTGCATGGCCAGCATGAGCCGCCTAAAAGCTCCTGCTTTGCAGCAAACTACTCAGTATCAGGGGCAAAGTACAGCTTTTCTTTACAATATCTGCTGTGCTCCCAGTTTCATAGTAATGAAGGTTCTCTCACTCTCACTCTCTCACTCTCACTCTCACTCACTCTCTCACTCTCACTCTCACACTCCTGTTCCTATTAATGGAGCCATTGGAGTCATGTACAAGTGTCATCCTGAAAAGTTTAGGAAAGTACGCGTGCAGAAATGAAAACAAACATTCCAGCCGCTCAGAATTTACACACACTAAAAATAGAGTACATCTTCCCCTTTTTAACTTCTTTTTCCTCTAAAATATGTACATGATAAATTTCCTGTCGCACACACATACACACACACACACACACACGTGTAACGCTATGTTTAGTGATATGTTTGTTCTTCACAGTAAATTTACCACGAAATCAGCACATGGGGGAAATCCATGATATGGATTGTATTTGACACACTGACAGTTGTTTGTGCTGTATTTGTGTCTGAACTTGGATAACAGCGGGTTTTCTATTTTGTGTAGATGCCATGCCAGCTCCTGAGCAGACTTCCTTGATGGAGGAGGGGCTACAGAAAGTTCCCCAAGAAGCTCCTCCCTCTACCAGCATGGAACCAGAAGCCACTGCCACAAACATTTTGGCATCGGTAAAAGAGCAGGTAAGGCTGAACTGTCTTTTTTGTATTTTAGTTAAAGGCCCACTCCAGGGAAAAATCTAATTTTGTATATGCATTGTGACTCATTTACCTTACTCAATAATGTGGCTTGCAAAGACATCTTCCATAGACATTCTGCATTCTGTTCAGTCAGTTTCCTATCTTCAGAGTGATTATTTCCTGTCCTGCAGACCTGGATTATTTCTTTGCTCCTTCTCTCTTCGGGGGACCGGTCCCATCACCACCCCTGTGTAGTACTCCTGTGGCTGAGGTGATAGTATGACGGCATCAGGTAACAGTGGGTGGTATTATTTTAATGCAAGTCCTTTTAGTCCACCTTCCCCATCCAGCCCCGCCTCTCCTTTTGCATAATAAAGTATTGACAGAGGCCCTGTTCACATCTTGGCGTACATGGAATGCGTGCATTCCTTTGCATTTCTCTTCCTGTGTTTGCCTTATGCCCCCATTGATTTCAGTGGGTGCTGCATACACTTCAAAAGTGGGAAAGTAGCTCATGTAGCAGATTCTGCTACAGGATGCCATTGACAAGTAACGGCACCACAAGTTTTTGATGCCTTCCGTGAAACGTGTGGCAAAGTGCACCTGTGACGTGTTCAGGGAAAGCGAAGGTATGAACGGGGACTAAAAAACATCCACAATTATGCCCACCTCGTCACTTACAAAGCATGGCCTCATGGGAAATGTAGTTTAGATTTGAAGCAGAATACTAGGTCCAAAGTGACTGTTACCATCTGGTTTTATCCTCCCGCCAGCGCCTGGGGAATTGTAATGCATTCAGTGGCGCGTGATTACGCCACAACTCTAAATTGCAGCTTTTCTCCAAAAGTAAACCTTTTGATTGTGAAATCACTACAGCGTTTTTACAGTCATGAGTAATAGCTGAGCATGATTCTGGTGTTCAACTTTTACTGACTTAAAGGTCAGTCTAGTTTTTAGTATCCTTTTTTTCTTTTCTTTATCACAAAAGATGGTTGAACGTTTTTGTTGCACCCATGTGCATATGTTGGGCTCCATTCACACTTGAGATGAGTGCATTTGGTCCTTTTCTCAGGTGTTGTTTCATTGTTTGTATAGGCATTTTTGCGTGTGTTTCAGGCTTGAGCATTTTTTGTTATTTTTGGTCAATGTAAACCTAGTTACTAGGTAAGAAAACACATGACCCATGTATTCTTCAGGTTTCCAGACGCTCCTCCTGAAGTCTGTTGTTTTTTTTGCTACAAGTGACAGGATGCTCAAATGTGAACAGAGGCCATTGAAAACAACTGGATTCCTAATTTTAGCATTTAGGCTTTCGAGCTACAAAACACTCAGGAATGAATGGAGCCTAATTGTTAGCCAACCCCTTATGTTTGAGTATTTTTGCCACAATGAAGAAGCTTTCCATATGAATTATTTGGCTCTTAGATGAGGAGAAGTTAATTTATCAGATATATCTAATCACCTTTTCTTGCAGTCAGAGGGCACCTTTTATGTGGTCCTGAGTAAAATAAGCAAACTTTCTATTCAAAAGTAATAATAAAGACTCTACTTGTGTGCAGTGATCCAAAAGTAAATTTAAATTCTCCAAAGGAAAACCACACACAAAATTCTGATGGAGAAGGAACTAGAAGGCATTGGTGGAAATAGAGTTGCTAGTTGAACAGGCCCACTTTGCCTTTCAGTGGTGCTTGGACAGCCCGGTATCAGAAGTTTTTCCACAGTTCAGCTGACTGATTCCACATCAAGTTGAGAAGCATTGTCTACTTCCACTGGCTAGACTGGTCACAGTGCTTTTCTGAGAGATGGGGAAGTCCATCAGTGCCTCGTAGCTGACGTTCTTCATCCAACTTTTCTTTATTTTTTTTAGTTGCAACTAGGGATGTTCAGACTCCATGTACTGTACTTGGTACAGGTACAGATACTTTTCCAGCTCCATTAACCCCTTCATGACTGAGGCCCTTTTTTCATTTTTTGCACCCATGTTATATTCCATATTTTAGGCCTGAAAATGACGTAAAACCCCCCAACATTATATATTTTCTGAATGCCAAGACCCTATAGAATAAAGTGGTGGTAGTTGAAAATTTTAGACTAGAGAAAAACTAAAAAGCTAGGAGGCATGGTGTGACAGAGCCCTCAGACAGTGGTGGAGCGCCAGAGCCAGGTCCCAGCTGCTACCCTGGTATTCTTGTGAAAATGCCAAGTATCGGCACTGTTATCTGAACATCCCTAGTTGTAACACTTCACTTCAGTATTTCAGTTTGGGTACACCCAGTATATAAAATAGGTCAGGGCTCAAAATTTCCACTCGCCCCCTCGCAATTGGCGAGTGAAAATATTGACGGGTTATGCAAAATGTCTTGAACAGGAAGAGGTGGAACAAATTTAGATTGGGGGGGGGGCCAAGTTTCGTCTTGCCTAGGGCAGCACGAAACCTAAATACACCGCTGCTCCTCGGCCGCTCTATAGCGGCAGCGGCTGATGAGAAGAGAGAACTATATATATAGAGACCGACAGAAGGAAGTTCATTGTTTGGGTTTATATACCCCTTAAAAAATATTTGGAAATATAATTTCATGTTTACGTGGTTTAAAGAGGTATTCTGTCTCTTCAAAGTGAATTTCCACTTTTGCAGTAAAATAAAAATAAAAAAACCCTCAATATGTTTGCAGTGTGTTCCCATTCACACCGCATAATGAAAATTAACAAAGCAATGTTGTAACTTTTTAGTTGTTTTGTTGCAGCAGACAACATGGCTGAATCAAGGTTTTTTGAGCACCTTCACAGTCATCTGTCTATATAGAAAACATTAGGACTTAAATGTGTGCATTGTGTTTCTCTCACTAACTTGACATACAATAAAGTCAAACTTCCAACCCCTCCTAACATTACAAAGATGGAGAAATAGACATTTTAACCCTTAAGAAGCCAAGGAATCCTAAGTAAAAGCAATTTAAACAGCAAGAAGCGTTTTATTTTATTTTTTTTGCTTATACTATGTGAATGGGAACATATAACAAATATAAAATTGGTGTTATCTCGATGTAGCTGCCAAAAAGGAAATACACTTTAAGGCAGTAGTTGAAAGGTGTGTGCTTTGCATTGTGGAGATTGGAGGACATGAAGTTGGTATTTACACATAGGTTTTGGGTCTCTGTAATGCACAAGGCTTCTTTCAGAATCAATGAATGTTATAAAGCCCATTTTAAGAACAGATCTTTTTGTATTTTTATAGCTTTTTTTAATTGTATTTATTTATTGTAAATGCTATTTAAAATTAGTAATGGATGGAGATGGCAACATACACATTTAAAGGGTTTATGAATAGATTATTTTGCTCTTGTCATTTGATGACTGGTGTCTGCTGATCTGCACCTGATGTAATACATTTTATGACCGTCTCTGCTTAGTACTCCGCAGCCTGAGTTTTTATTGGATAAGATTGACCAAAACCCCATTGTGCATTGTAATGAAAGAATGATCTGCACTCTTCCGAATTTGTTTAACCAGAGGCACTAGAAGAAAAACAAACCCCTTCTTCTGCCAAGTTTGCTTCTCATAGTAGAAAAAACTGAGGTTTACTGGTATTTTTGGTTTTCTCCCACACAATGGTTTTAGTATAATTTCTATGAAAAGCGCGACTGTTCCAATTGAGAAGCTGTGCGCTAAATGGAGAAATGACTGCTGCAATTGTGGGGAAGTGTAACTGTGTTCTATCACGACCAGAGAAAACCACAGCAACGTTTTAAAGGAAAAGCATAGTGTGTGTCCGTGTAACTGATACTGCGAACATGTGAGATGGTAAACCTGCAGCAGTGTTCATGCCCACCGGGCCAGATTTATATTTTATTTCAATATAAAGCAAAAGATATTATTGCAACAGTTATGAGAAAAAAAAATCGCAATATCAAACCGATCATGATATAAAAATGCTTGTGCCTTTTGAGTCCTTTATGCCTTTATTCCTTTTCTCTATCTCTCCATATTACAAATATATTCACTGCTGTTAAAGGGTAGTTTTAATGTTTTGGGTTCATTTTATTTAATGTGGATACATATATACAGTGTTTCCCCGAAAATAAGACAGTGCCTTATTTTATTTTTTTCCACGAAAAAAGACACTAGGTGTTATTTTCGGGGGATGTCTTACCTGGCTGCTGCTGTCCGCTCTGCATTCTTATATTACAGAAATCATTGAAGATAGCGCTAGGGCTTATTTTCGGGGTAGGTCTTACTTTCGGGGAAACACGGTATATCACATATCACACACATTATTTACAATAAAGAAATAACAAAGCAGCAACAGCCTACATTACATGATTGAAATTATGTTCTGACCCATCCAATAACGGATGAGTCACTGTTCTGATTCACTCCAATTGCAGTTTGAGCTCTGTAAACAGGCTTTTTCAGCAGTTGGTAATCAGGCAGAAGACTGCGTGTAATTAGAAGTCTAAAGCTCTACATGCTGGCTGGATATAAGACTATGTAATCTTTATATGCAACATTTAAAAAGTTCCCGTGTAAACAAAAAGTCTTTACCATAAGGGAAGTAAACTATATACAAAGCCACAACAGATTCCCTATTGAAGTGCCATTTAGAAACAATAAGGATCAGCTTAGGGGACTTTTCCCAGCAGTTCTCTTCTTTTATGTCCGCATACTTCATCATAAACAGTGTACAAATGCCTCCAGATTTATAACCCTTTTTTCAAGCAGAAATCAATGGTATTCCTGATTGAAACAAGGTTATAATCCCGAAACATAAGATATTTTTTAAGCTACTTAAACAATGTTCATAATAGAAGAAAAAGCATTGTTAGAAACGGTCCTCTTATGCCAATCCTTATTGGTTTTAAGTATCTGTGCCCTGGGAGTGCCAAGCAAAAGTTGTTTGGATCCTAGTACGAGGCAGTTCTAACAGGAGGTGTGCGATCATTCATTCATTCATACATACACGTGTGTGTGTGTGTGTGTGTGTGTGTGTGTGTGTGTGTTTATTA